ACAGCCTCCTGAATAAAAATATGAATCACTGTACTGCTACAATATACACTTGCAGCATGTAAGTGTGGTTTGTTTTCTTTTTCTTTCCCAATAGGAATGACCTTAACTATGAATACTGTAGGTATCAGGACACGGGTCAGTGATAAACAAGTGAAAGATTCTTGGGTTTAATAAAATCTTTATATTGTGTGTAGATTTATTAAACACAAAAATGTGTATAAAATGTCAAAGTTTTACTCTGCTTTAGATGGCAACTCTTTATCATAATACTATCCCAATCCCCTATATTGGAATGGACAGTGAAGTACAGCATTACAGTGGCACTCAATGACATGTGAAGAAGTGAAGTGCAACGTTGTAGTGGCAGTCAGTGTAGTGCAACGTTGTAGTGGCAGTCAGTGTAGTGCAACGTTGTAGTGGCAGTCAGTGATGTGCAGCGTTGTAGTGGCGGTCAATTAAGTGGATCCCTATAGTAGCAGTCAGTGATGTGCAGCAGTGTGGTAGTGGTCAGTGAAATACAGTATTATACTGGCAGTTAGTAATGTGCAGCAGTGTAGTGCAGTGGTGTAGCGACAGTCAGAAAAGTGTAGTGGCAGACAGTGAAATACAGTATAATACTGGCAGTTAGTAATGTGCAGCAGTGTAGTGGCAGTCAGTGAAGTACAGTATTATACTGGCAGTTAGTAATGTGCAGCATTGTAGTGGCAGTCAGTGACGTGCAGCAGTGTGGTGGTGGTCAGTGAAGTGCAGCATAATTATATATATATATATATATTATATATATTATACATACACAGACTTATACATACACAGACTTGAGGCATCCCGGATTCCCATCTCTTCAGCTGTTCCTTACCTCTTACCGATGTGACCACCCGCCGGGCTTGTGATTGGATGGAAAGCCTGGGAAGCAGCAGCCACGCTCGCCAGCAGTTTCCCAGGCACCGAGCACTGTGGCTGTTATGTGAATAATGCAAGTGGCAAGTGCTGCTCACCTTTGTATCGCTGAGCAGATCACACAGAGATCTTTGTGATCTCTCCACTGTCTCAGTGACTAAAAACACAGCGTCCACTGTTGCTGTTTTGTGTTGTGCTTGGGGTGATTAGGGTGGCTCAGGCACACCTGGGGTGTGGTGGCGGTCAGGGAAGGGCAGTATTATAGTGGCAGTCAGTGAAGTGCAGCAGTGTAGTGGCAGTCAGTGACGTGCAGCAGTGTAGCGGCAGTCAGTGACGTGCAGCAGTGTAGCGGCAGTCAGTGACGTGCAGCAGTGTAGCGGCAGTCAGTGACGTGCAGCAGTGTAGCGGCAGTCAGTGACGTGCAGCAGTGTAGCGGCAGTCAGTGACGTGCAGCAGTGTAGCGGCAGTCAGTGACGTGCAGCAGTGTAGCGGCAGTCAGTGACGTGCAGCAGTGTAGCGGCAGTCAGTGACGTGCAGCAGTGTAGCGGCAGTCAGTGACGTGCAGCAGTGTAGCGGCAGTCAGTGACGTGCAGCAGTGTAGCGGCAGTCAGTGACGTGCAGCAGTGTAGCGGCAGTCAGTGACGTGCAGCAGTGTAGCGGCAGTCAGTGACGTGCAGCAGTGTAGCGGCAGTCAGTGACGTGCAGCAGTGTAGCGGCAGTCAGTGACGTGCAGCAGTGTAGCGGCAGTCAGTGACGTGCAGCAGTGTAGCGGCAGTCAGTGACGTGCAGCAGTGTAGCGGCAGTCAGTGACGTGCAGCAGTGTAGCGGCAGTCAGTGACGTGCAGCAGTGTAGCGGCAGTCAGTGACGTGCAGCAGTGTAGCGGCAGTCAGTGACGTGCAGCAGTGTAGCGGCAGTCAGTGACGTGCAGCAGTGTAGCGGCAGTCAGTGACGTGCAGCAGTGTAGCGGCAGTCAGTGACGTGCAGCAGTGTAGCGGCAGTCAGTGACGTGCAGCAGTGTAGCGGCAGTCAGTGACGTGCAGCAGTGTAGCGGCAGTCAGTGACGTGCAGCAGTGTAGCGGCAGTCAGTGACGTGCAGCAGTGTAGCGGCAGTCAGTGACGTGCAGCAGTGTAGCGGCAGTCAGTGACGTGCAGCAGTGTAGCGGCAGTCAGTGACGTGCAGCAGTGTAGCGGCAGTCAGTGACGTGCAGCAGTGTAGCGGCAGTCAGTGACGTGCAGCAGTGTAGCGGCAGTCAGTGACGTGCAGCAGTGTAGCGGCAGTCAGTGACGTGCAGCAGTGTAGCGGCAGTCAGTGACGTGCAGCAGTGTAGCGGCAGTCAGTGACGTGCAGCAGTGTAGCGGCAGTCAGTGACGTGCAGCAGTGTAGCGGCAGTCAGTGACGTGCAGCAGTGTAGCGGCAGTCAGTGACGTGCAGCAGTGTAGCGGCAGTCAGTGACGTGCAGCAGTGTAGCGGCAGTCAGTGACGTGCAGCAGTGTAGCGGCAGTCAGTGACGTGCAGCAGTGTAGCGGCAGTCAGTGACGTGCAGCAGTGTAGCGGCAGTCAGTGACGTGCAGCAGTGTAGCGGCAGTCAGTGAAGTGCAGCAGTGTAGCGGCAGTCAGTGAAGGGTATCTGTGTAGTGACAGTAGGTGAAGTACAACATTATAGAGGCAGTCAGTGACGCATGTGTGTCAGTGTTTGCTTACCTGCTGGCCCAAGGCACTGGGTCTCCTGAGAGTGACATCAGAGGCAGCACCTGAACTATGCAGGCAGAGTTGGGTGGATCAATCACCCCCGCACACTGAGTATGTAGACCTGAGCTGTTTACATACTCCCTTCACCTCCATAGTGTCAAGAACACAATGAGACATTAACAAGGAGAGCAATGTAAGCTCTCACTTCCTGAGTTTCAGCTTTTATATACAGTAGATATATCTAGCAAAGGAAGTAATAATTAGAAGGTCCAGGAGAACGTTGGATCAGGGTTACATGGGCCTAGTGCCCCAAAGCTGGTGACACGGATGACATCAACACAAACAGTGCAGAGCTCCCGCTGGTTACATGGGCTGATGGTGACATTAGGTATTGTAACCCAAAAACAAACACTTGGATTATCTGATTAATTACATCTGTCAGATCAATGCATTCGCTTCAATATAAGATAAATTAAAACAAAAACTACAATATTAGGCCAGCGCCTTTAATACTGTGCCACCTCTGCACCTGCTCATTCCCAAACAATTAGAAAAATGGACCCAATGTCCCTCATCAGTGGTCCATGTAAGGTTTTTAAAAGCTGCCCACTACTGTCCGGATGGTTGAGTGCAGCAGTGATAAGAGCTCCCTTAATATCCTTCCAATTCAAAGTTTACTGCAGACCCTTCCCTCCAAGGTGAGGGGTATGGCTAATTTATTTCAGCTTCAGATGTATCTACACCAGCTGGGCAGCCATGTCTCTTACCAAGAAGTAAATACTCTGCAGTATACTCTAGAAAGGGAGAGTATTACTTAGCTTCATAGCTGGACTGGAAGGTTCTTTCACTTTCAGTAGTGGCTCACTTCTAAAATTGTTAAGTAGGTCATATACGTGGATTGGAGAGGAGAGTGTTCAGGTCAAAGTAGGAACGTCTCACTTTAATAATATCACTATATATGTCACACACTGTTACCAGAGAGGCCCAACATAGACTGGTATGTATAAACATGAATAATGTGCCACGCTCACAAATCAACTAGGTTTCTAATCTAACATAAAAGGGTTAAATATGTGCTATATATCATAATAGTGTAGCAAACATATAGTGCTTCAAAACGATGATAATAATCCACTTTAAAATCACAAATATACAATATATATATTAAAAAGTCCACTTGTGATGAATACACCATGCAATTAGAAGGTGAATTGTGCACCCAAATCTAGGATGGATATAATAAGTAAGTGATTAAACAATTCCTCCGTGTACCTTGTGACTTCCACCTTCCACTCCCCATAGAATAACTCTCACCTCTCGATGTGACCTTACATTATAACAGGTCCAGAAAACGCCACTTCCCTTACCGAGTACTATACCGAGTACGGATACCGATGCTTCCACCCGCATGGAGCTGGCTTACAATCAGGAAGCTGGGCAGCGTGTAATGACATGCCGCCCTGCTTCCTGATTGCCAGGGAAGCCAGCTCCATGTTGTTAGGCCGGCTTGATTGTGATTGCTAGGGAAGCCGGCTCCGTGTTGTTAGGCCGGCTTGATTGTGATTGTCTGGGAAACCGGCTTCCCAGCCAATCAGGAAGCCGGGCGGCGAGTTATGACCTGACTGGCCGGAAAGCCGGCTTGATGCCGATTGGCCGGGAAGCCAACTTCCCAGCCAATTAGCAAGGAGCCGGCCTCCTGGCCAATCAGGAAGCTGGGTCAATACTCGCTGCCCGGCTTTCTGATTGCACGGGAAGTGGGCTCCAAGTTCCCATACGGCACTGCCGGCCAGAGGAAATCTTCTTCTGACCAGATGGTCCGGTACCGGGGAAAGTATCTGAGCATGTGGGCACTCACCCAAGTACTCGGTATCGGAGAGACGGGGGAACCGAGAGGTGGGGCCAGATTTGATTGGGTAATTCCATTTTCCCATATTATTTGGGAAAGTGAACTTACACACACAATGGGCATTAAAGGGTAAGAGAGTTCAGCTGCCCGGCTACCGCAATATGGCACATAGTGCAATTCAAAACACTCAACGCGCGCACACACACACACAATGACCCCCAAAAACCAGGGCAGGGGGGCCCGGACAAGATCGCTGCTTGTTTCATACAAGTGATCTGATCAGATCACTTGTATAAAACGTGCACTGGCTCCCCACTGTACATTTAGCTCTGCTTGCCAGCAGCAGGGCTAAATGTACAAAAAAAAGGACCCGCCCCGTGCCCGGAGCTGCAGGTCCTGGATTTGTGAGCGCGGCACATTATTCAAGTTTATTTATCATTCTGGTTATACACTAGAATTAGTGCCTGCTGCCTAGGATAGTAGCTGAGTGCGAACGTCTGTGATATATTATAGACTGGTATGCACCTACACAAAAATGAAAAAATCTTTAGTTGCATATGTTTATTTTCACTTTGATGTATGTACATATGTTACAGTATGTACTCCATAATAATGGGCCTTTATGGCCCTATGTAGATTCTGGTACAGAAATTCACAAAAACCATTAAGAACAGCTTAGTTACATTGTAACAATGTATGAAACCCATTAAAAAAGCACACTGGTGAACAGAATATTATAGTTTGTTGATTCAGAAATGTGATCTTGACTTTGAAGTCTTTAAGGCACATCTAGGCAAAGGTTCATCAACTTGTATCGTGAGTGTTCATTCTATGGACAGCTAAAGACCAAAGCTCAGTCAGAAGAGGTGACTGGTGGCCAGATTTTAGATAATTCTTCATGCGCAGCCTCAGGAATCCACTGACAATAAGCATGGAGCAAATCTGTGTGCGAGAAAGCAGACGTTTTTCAGAACCTCAGTTTTCTGCAGAAGTCATGTACACACATTTACAATCAGTCATGTAAAGAATGTGATTACAAGCAGTCTTAAAGGCAAGAAGTAGGTTTACTTACATGTTGGGTCCTTGTTCCATGCAGCCAATAGGGAGGCGAGGTTATCTGCATTCTCGGAAACCAAGGCCTTTAGTAACACTTCTGTTCTAGGCTGTAGTCTATGTGAAATTAAACAATGTATTCTTTTTAGAAGTCTATATTGCAATCACTAGCACGCATTGTATTGCATCACATGCATTTATGCTACTGGCTCACTTTTATAAATGTATACAGAATTGGTTGAACCACCAAAGAAAATTGGATACCACACCCCTAACAATTGAATACCAAACAAAACAAAAACATCACCATTAATCCGAGGAACAAACACCCGCAAACCCAGAGAGAGCAGAAAGACACACAGGGACATTCGAAATGGAGGAATCGAACAGCCCTCAGTGTCCACCTAATCAATAGTCAGAGGGTGAGCCGAGGTAAGTCCATACTTCCTCCAGAGTGAACCCCCATCTGTATCCCCCACTCTCCCCGAATGATCAACGACTGCACCATCACACGCCGCTCATCCCGGCGTGTGACGTGCGCTCCCAGGGCGGACCAAGAGGTCAACCTAAAACTATTGGTTTTCATGAATTGATTTAGAATATTATGTATTTGATTACAACCCGTATATCTGGATGCGACACCTTAAAAGCCCCATGTTTTTTTTTGGTTTGGTTTGGTATTCACTTTTATAAATGTTTTCAATAACATTTCATAAAATGGAAAACATAGAAAAGCTAGATATGTGCATCAGCTGCAGGAGCTTGCTGCATAAATAAGGTCATGTCATCTTTACAGGGTAGCTAGCCACGGGGTATGCTACTCCTTCACACCACAGTCATAAAGCTGTCTGGCTGGATAGGGAAAGCTTCAGGAGGAGGATGGAGGAAAAAAAGAGAGGGGGACCAGGGGTGGAATGCTGGGGGGCATGGCTAAATATAGGAGATAGGAGGAGAGTGAAGTGTGCTAACATGAGATGCTAGTAAGCTGTCATAACCTCTAGATTCTGAAGTATTATTCAATAGGCAGTTTAGAAACATTGCTTATGCTGCACTGAAATTCCAAGATGTATCAGCCACGTCTGAGTTCTCTCCTGCTGGACTACAGAACCCACTCCTGTTATTATAAGGAGATATTTCTGTGGTGCAGTAGGGGAGAGCTTGGTAAGGCTAAACAATGAGTTTTCAGTGCAGCAGAGGCATTGTGTTGGCAGCTCAAACACAAGCTGACTAAGAATGAGCACAGTCACATGAAACTCTATATTTGCATAAGATATTCAAGATCCTACAGCAGTAGCAGTGAGTGAGCATGTTCATAGGTAAGGTCTATGTAGGTGCAGGACCATGTCACATCAGCAGTGATCTAGGACAGCAATAGCTCTCTCCATTTTCTCTGGTGATTTGTAAAATAGCTCCAGTTGCTGCTGTAAGCTTGCTACACTATTTCTATACAGCAACACAGTGCTGGTGTGCCTTGGTCCACAGCTGCTGCATTAAATAACAGGGGAAGCTGCTGGACCTAGCTTTTCCACAGTTACATCCAAAGACTGTCAAATGAAATTGCTCAGCAAATGAGCCATAAAATCATTGCAAACTCTAGACTTTCATTGTCCACAAATTTGTGTTTCCTATCAGCAAAAAAAAGGAAAGTCATTCTGTAGCAGTTACATATCACTTCACCAAGCTTTAAGATAAGTATAACCTTCATAACAATAAATGATCTACTGCAAGCAATAAAAAATGGCTGATAAATGAATATAGTGCTGACTATAGTGGGAACATATTTCTAAGGCATCTGTGGTTATTTAGGAGTAAATAATACTTACTTGGCCCATGATTTAAGCATGGTTGTGGGGCTTGATAAAAGAACGCTGGTATAAGAGCCCAGTTTTTTTACCACCTATGACAAAAAAAATGGCAGTTATTGTATACAGAACACACCATTTTTTTTACAATGCCAAAACTCGTACAAAAACTGTTAAAAATAGCAAACTCATCCCATATATTAATGTAAATTTACATAAACACATTCCCCATTTCCGATGTACTCCTGAAAAAACTCTGCATGCTGACCAAAGCCACCAATTCTGTACTTAGAAGACTCAGAGGCCCAAACTGTTCTGCCTATGGGTACGTGTTCTGGTCCAGCAAAGTTTGGATGAAGCATTTAAGACTGAATGGGCCAAATGTACACTTGCAGGCCTGCCATGTAAAATTCCCACTTCAGTATGCCCTCTCTGATTAGGAAAGGGTTATTTATGTACATTTTCTAGGGAGCATCCTCTGATATCTGTGTACATTAGACTATATATTTACACAAATGTATTTGCTATTTACATACTCTCCTTATAGTAGTTGAAGCAGAACTCAAAGCATAAAAATACGACTAGCCCATTAAAAGGAAATTAAAAACCACTTTTGCTGCAATGCTTACTATCAATCCAATCCAGGGCCGTCCCTCACAGTCATTCTTTTTTTACCACTAAATATCCTCAGCCTTCTCGGGGTTAAATGATGACCAGCAACATTCAACCTATTGCTCTGAGCCCAGGCTGTCATGGACCCACCCCCTGATTGTAAATGGACAGTGAAGGAGAAAGCAGCACAGTGTTAAGCCCATCTCTCTTTCTCCGCAATTTCACCTGCTATCAGCACGCTCCTTGACGGCACACAAACCGATCAGATCCCTTTGCTGCTTTTTCCTTTCCCACCCCAAGCTTTGCCGCAGAGGGACAGCAAAAAGTTAATACTAGGTCAAATTTAGATGCTTAGGGAAAAAATTTATTTAAAAAAGGGAAATTCCACTTTCCCAAATTTTGGAAAAATGAAATTACCCCTCCAATCTGGCCCCTACTCCCCACCCTGCTGTACGTTCCTTTGTCCATACCATGTACAGAGCAGCACAACCTGTGCTCTGCATTTTAAATTTCGCTTGGAAAATGGGGAGCACTCATTGGTCAACGCAGTCCAGGCTATAACCAAGCCAAAATATTGCTGGCTGTCTGGTAAATTGGGAATTTGTGTTTTTATGGAGGGTAGGACATACCTGGAGGGAAGATCTCAGAAATCCTTGCAATGTCCTCAACATAGGACAGCAATGCACGAGGTTCTGTATAATGTGTGTACAGGGCCGGCCTTAGGCCTTTAGGCGCCCTGTGCGAGAAAGCTTTACAGCGCCCCTGAGTGGCCACACCCTTTAGTGGCCACGCCCCCGTAACCACACCCATTTCCCCCAATATATGCACCATTTAAAGACTCCTATTTTGTTAAGCCGCAAAGAAACATATTAAAAAGTGTGATAAAAATAAAACTTTTATTCAAAGGTATTAAACTTGTAGGCACAATAGAAGTATTCTTATCAAATAAAACAACAGAAGGTAAACAATAAATGTCAAAATACAATAGAGTCAATAAAAATAAAGTGTCAGGTCGTCATGCTGACCCCTTTTTTCAAGTAAGTGCATCTAGAAAAGTAAAAATAAAAAACAGAACACAGACCCCGGGCTACATGTAAATGAAGCCAGGGGTCTGTATTGTATTCAGACACATAATAATAATAATTTGTTTGAGAATGTGCGGCGGCCATGTTGGCCACCAGCGTGTTCTCTGAATGCGTGCCACCATCTTGGAGGCAGGGAGCATGACGTTACATGACGCCATGCATGCGTGGCGTCAGGTGACCTCACACGCCGATATTGGCCCCACCATCTTGGTGTATACCTAGATATACACCAAGATGGCGGCGCCCAACACGTGCGGTGTTATATGACGTCATGCGCCCT